TGACCCCCACCCTGCAGATATTTAGAGGCATTTCTAAGGTCCCCTCTCAGCCTTCTCTTCAGGCTGAACAAACCCAGCTCCCTCAGCCTTTCCTCATAAACTGGAATAAAACAACTTTCTCTTTCATCAGGACCATTCTCATGATGGGCCGCTATGTTGAACCCATCGAGGACGTGCCTTGTGGAAACATTGTTGGTCTGGTTGGTGTCGACCAGTTCCTTGTGAAGACTGGAACCATCACCACCTTTGAGCACGCTCACAACATGAGAGTCATGAAGTTCAGCGTCAGCCCTGTCGTGCGTGTGGCTGTGGAAGCCAAGAACCCAGCTGACCTGCCCAAGCTGGTGGAGGGACTGAAGCGTCTTGCCAAGTCAGACCCTATGGTGCAGGTGAATGTCTGAAATGCTTTTGAGGCCAGGAGAAGTCCTGGTCCTGCTGGCACAGGAAGCTTCTGCCTTTAATCATGATTGCACTGGGGGGTGCTGGCAGAAAAGTCTCGAGTTGTGTATTAGTCCCAGCCCTATCAGAGTGGGAAGGAATACTGTGTTTCCCCTTGGGGTTGGTGCCGAGTCCTCCCCAGATCAGTGGAAAGAGCATCTGAAACCAACTCTGAGTCAGACAGAAATTGGGACAGTCACTGGTATTTCTATGTGTGAGAGCTTTCGTTGCATTGCAGTCAAAAGCCTGACCTGCTGTATAAATGGTCTTTCCAGTGCATCATTGAGGAGTCTGGAGAGCACATCATCGCTGGTGCAGGGGAGCTGCACTTGGAGATCTGCCTGAAGGATCTGGAAGAGGACCACGCGTGCATTCCTATTAAGGTAGAGGGGCTGCAGCAACAGAGCTGCTGGTGGCTCTGAGCGGGCATCTGGTGAGCTGCCGTTTGGTTGGGGGCTTCAGTGCTCTTCTCTGCTCTTCGCCACAGAAATCGGATCCTGTTGTGTCCTACCGTGAGACGGTCAGCGAGGAATCCAACGTGATGTGCCTTTCCAAGTCCCCCAACAAACACAACAGGCTGTACATGAAGGCCCGGCCCTTCCCAGATGGCTTGGCTGAAGACATTGACAAGGGTGAGGTCTCTGCCCGTCAGGAGCTGAAGCAGCGAGCTCGTTACCTGGCTGAGAAGTACGAGTGGGATGTCACCGAAGCCAGGAAAATCTGGTGCTTTGGTCCCGACGGCACCGGCCCCAACATCCTGACCGACATCACCAAGGGAGTGCAGTACCTGAACGAGATCAAGGACAGCGTGGTGGCCGGCTTCCAGTGGGCGACAAAGGAGGTAGGGGCAGCGCCTGGCTCCGGTCGCGGCAGAGCTGGGATCGCTCCGGGGCAGGTGGTGTCTGGTGTCAGAAGTGGCTCCTGCATATCTTCTGTCTTCCCAAAGAAATTACGGAAAAGCAGTCAGCGTGACCTGCTTACCATTCAGAAGTAACTTGTAGGATAAATGAACCTTGATTGCAGCTGGAGTGAGGATGTCATACTGGTTTAGATGCACAGAACACACAACGTCGAGACAAAAAGCTTTCTCCCAGCACTGCGGAGAAATTCATCATGGTCGCACGTACTTCAAATTTTAAAAAGCTTTCCAGAGAGCAAAATGCAGCCACAGGGACAGAAGCGATCAGATGAATAACAGCTGGCATCAGAAGAAAATGAAAGGTGCTCTGAGAGCCTCAGCAAAGATCTGGCCTTGTTTACCAGTTGTTTTTTTCAGGACTAGACAGGAGATGACTCCAAACTAACAAGTTGACAGGTAGACTGGGAACAGCAAGAGGAGAGATTTCTTCTGTATACCTTTAGTGTAGTTGGAAGAAGAAGAAGATACCAGACCAACAGCTCTTTTTTTTGTCCCAGTAATGTGAAAAACTGCTTTTGCTGGCCCAATACATGGGTTGCAGTGTTGTGAATGTCTGTCAGCACGTCTGCTGCTGCTGTGAACGCTGCTGAGCCCTCGGATGAAGAGACTGGTAAATGGTTTCAGTGCCTGAAACCTTCTCTGAGGAGCTGCAGTGGTGGCTTGGAGGCAGGAGTAGCTGGTTCTTAGGTCCCAGATGAGGAAGATGACTTGCCGAATGGCTCCTTGGGTTGCCAGGTGGGATCTTCCTGCTCTAGGATCCGCTTCCAAGGAATGCCCGTGAGCCGAGGGACTGGAGCCTGCTGGTAGGGAATGCTGGCTGTCCCCTGACACGGTGTTGGCTGACCCCCTGCTCTGCTTTTCCAGGGCGTCCTGTGCGAGGAGAACATGCGCGGTGTGCGTTTTGATGTGCACGATGTCACCCTGCACGCCGATGCCATCCACCGCGGGGGCGGGCAGATCATTCCCACTGCCAGGAGATGCCTGTACGCCTGCGTGCTCACTGCTCAGCCCAGGCTGATGGAGCCCATCTACCTTGTGGAAATCCAGGTGAGGAACCAGGCTCAGGCCCGAAGATCCTGCGTGAGGAAAATGTGAGGTTTGCGGTGCTGACAGCTCTCTCTTGCAGTGCCCGGAGCAGGTGGTTGGTGGCATCTACGGTGTGCTGAACAGGAAGCGTGGCCACGTGTTTGAGGAGACCCAGGTGGCTGGCACCCCCATGTTCGTGGTCAAGGCCTACCTGCCTGTCAACGAGTCCTTTGGTGAGTCTGCTGGGCCTCGTGCTCCTCCTGGGAGCTCCAAGCTGACCCTGGGATGGAAGCAAGGAGACCTTTGTGTCCAGCTGTCTGACGGCAGTGGTTGTGGAGTCATAGAATCATTTAACTTGGAAAAAACCTGTGAGATCATCAAGTCCAACTGTCACCTGGCAGTGCCAAGTCCACCACTGAACCACGTTCCTAAGTGCCACACCTCGTTTAAATACCTCCAGGGAGGGTGACTCAGCAGTGTCCCTGGGCAGCCTGTTCCAAAGCTTGATAACCCTTGCAGTGAAGAAATTCTTCCTAGTGTCCCATCTAAACCTGCCCTGGTGCCACTTCGGGCCACCTCCTCTTGTCCCATCACTTGTTACATGGGAAAAGCAACCACCATCAGAGGGTGGTTTGGGTTGGGAGGGACCTTCCAAGGCCACCCAGTCCAACCCGCTGCCATCAGCAGGGACATCTTCCGCTGGATCGGGCTGCTCAGAGCCCCGTCCAACCTGGCCTTGAATGTCTCCAGGGATGGGGCATCTCCCACCTCTCTGGGCAACCTGTGCCAGGGTTTCACCACCCTCAGCATAAAAATGTCTTCTTGTATCCAGCTGGAATTTACCCTGTTAGTTCAAAGCCCTCACCCCTTGTCCCGTGGCTGCAGCCATGCTAAGGAGTCTGTTGCCATCTTAGCAGCCCCCCCGCAGCAGGGAGGGGCCGGGGGGAGGGCTGCTGGTGCCAGCAGCCCCCCCGCAGCAGTGAGAGGCCGGGGTGAGGGCTGCTGGTGCCTGCTCCACCCCAGCTCTCCTGGCCATTGATGGCAGAGGTGCCCTGCGCTCGGCATCGCTGCGGGCTCCTGGGCGCTGCTTGGGGTTCCTTTATCGATGTGATGACCCGGGAGCGCGGGTTCTGCTGGAACTGCCCCTCTTCCTTCTTCCTCCTCACCTATGTCTTCTTCCTCGCAGGTTTCACGGCAGATCTGAGGTCCAACACGGGGGGCCAGGCTTTCCCCCAGTGCGTCTTCGACCACTGGCAGATTCTACCCGGGGACACCTTCGACAC